CTTAAATATATTTCTCAGTTTACTCACGTAAGTTGAGCAAGTTATTATCGCTTGAACAACCTATGTTCTTCAAATACAGACAAATTTTTGCCAGAGGGACAATTTGTCTCTTTGAGAAAAAAAAATTAAGATGTACCTTGTTCGCATTTTCACTTGATAAAAAACAATTCAAAAGGGAAGAAAGTGAACTAGAAACAATTATTCAAATTTTTTTAGAAATAAAAAAATATTACAAAAACTAAAACAAAAAATCCTCACATTTTATAAGAATTTAGATCAATTATTTCATATTTTATAGGGATGAAATTAAAAAAAATGTAGGAATTAAAAATAAATAAAAAACTAAAATACATATTTAATCTATAAAAAGTATTATAAAGTCTTAATTGTTTTTTTTAAAACATTCATTAATGAGATCACAAGTTTTAATTTCTTTTCTTGCCTACTCAGTAAATATTATCTACATGAATTAAAAGATTAAATCAATATCCCCATTTGTTTTATAACTATATATTTAAAAAATTTCTGCCATATATATACCAGTAATTTATCAGTTTCTACAAGATAACAAGAATACAGAAGAATTGACAAAATTACTAGTGATGTGATCTTAGGAAGACAAATAAACGAAAGAGTGAAAGAAACAATGAAAAAGGAAGAATAGTCATAAGACATTAGTTAGGAGTGTAAAATAATTGGAAGAAGGAGAGATGAAAGTGATGAAAATGGGTGAAGATGTTCTTGATATTAGGTGTTTGAGCATGAAAAGAGGAATACCAAGGAGTGTGTCTGTGAAATGGTGGTGAAGTGGCCCCACTGTGCCACTTGAAAAGCAAATGGTGACCCTCTATTTTGGGGAGAATGATGTGCTTTTTCAATGAACAAAACTGCCGCCATATTTGTGTTATTCTAAGCTGGCTTCGTCTCTTTGCAGAGTGGCGTAGTACCACAAAAGTTAGAGACACTTTGCTAAAAGACCATGCATGAATCAATACTTTATATATATCATCACCATAATCATCTTTTGGGACCATACTACTCTACCTCACCACCTTTATAACTACCCTCAATTTTCACTCTTTTTCTTTTCTTTCCCTGCATTTATTCTCTCTCTCTACCTCTCTCTCTCTATATATATGTAGAATGGTTGATGAATAGTATAATTGATCTATGTCAAAGTATGTCCTTTTAAGTCATTTTTTTAGTATTATTACAACATGACTTCTTGTGATCACCATTAAAACCCTAAAGTTAATTATATTAGTAATGAAAATAATTTATTGTATTTATTCATTTCTTTTATATATATATATATATATATATATATATATATATATATTTCAAAAAATTATGCATTTTAGGGTGATGGTGGTGGATGGAGTGTTTGTTAATCTCCTAACAAAGCAATGTTTAACACTCTTGAAATGGTTTTGTTGTATAAAATTTACCTGATAAATTTTTTTATTGCACTTTAATTTAGAATCAAGATAATACTATGTTGGTTTAGATGAAAACGGGTATACAAATATTTACTTTATTTATACACGTATAATTGTCTCACTTATGAAAGAAAGGTTTAATTAAGTCCATGCATACTACAAAATTGAAAAATGTTTATTATTATGATCAAATTTTATCATAATCAACTCCTAAACATATGATGAGCCGTTTATCTTAATTTTTTATGTGTGAAAAGGGATTAAATTCTTAAGGAATCTTTTATTTTGAGAGATTAAGATTTGAATTTGTAAAAAGAAAATGATAAGCAACAACATTGATTTATCAAATTTGAAAGTGGCCCCATCATGTGGAGACCAGTTTGACCTTGACTGTTGAGTCATTCATTTGGAAGAGGCTCTTTGCTTTTCTAGGGTTTTGAGCTTTTTTTAACATTTTGCTTAAGGGCAATCTTCATTCATGGAGTTAGATTTGAGGACCACTTTTCCACTCTTTTCCCATGTACCCTATTTATTTCTCAATGGACCATTCCTCTTCAAAATTGGTGAAACTATGTGTTTACTAAATAGTAAATCAAATTGAAACTATGTGCCATACTTTTCCTCCATATTTAATTATAACACTGTTTTTCATCAAAATATTCTTCTTTTGTTTCGTAGATGATAATCAAAAGTCATGAATGGCCTCATTCTTTCTTTATTATATAAGGATAAATTTTAAAACATTATAATAAAACTTAATATTATTAACTATATTAATTAATTACCTTCCTTAATAAATACGAAATTAATTAGCTGTCTTAAACATAATTCAAAACAATCTTATTCATAAAATGTTCCAATAGAGATCTCAATCCATGCATTATGCTGCTCTTGATTATTTTCTTAGGAACCATGATTACTTTTACAAAGGTTGTCATGAAAGTTTTCTAAAAAATTTCTCTTCCTTGAAGACTAATGCATTTTTCTATTTTCATGATTGTTGGGAGTTATAAGAATGATTCTTGCTATTACGTAAACTTAATTACTTTTATCTTTTTCTCCCTTGTACACTTCAACAAATGTCAGGAAGCACAAATAATAAGACAAAAGAAAGTGAAATAAAATTAAAAATGTAATAATTGTACCAACTTGATTAACAACAAAAATATAAATACTAAAAAAATGGAAATAAATTTATTCCACAGCATTATGTACCTTTTGATAAAAATTTTGGAAATCATGAAACTAAACAATGCTTATAGAAAAGAAGAGAAAAACATAGTAAAGATATTATCTTTCAACTACGGTATTAATTATAAATTCAAATCTTCTTATATGTGATTTGAATTTTTTTAATTATATTATATTGAAGTAGTTATTAATCAAATAATATTATTAAGTTTTTAATGATTTAAATTTATTCAATCAACAATAACTGTAATAAAATATTTTAATAAACCAGGAAACTGAAACTTTATTAATTAAACTAATTTATTTATTTATATTTTAATGCGTTTGTCTTTTTTATAAGCAAAGATTTATATTAAAATTATTTGAGATACTTCAATCTATGAACAAGATATATACAAAAATATAGCAATAAAACCCATTAGGTATTCTCCTACATCATCCTTCTAGCCTGAACATATGGTTTCACTACACTTTTCTTGTTCATTATCCAAGTCCTACACTTTTGCTTTTTGACCAAGTACATTAAGAGTTCTATCAAGATGTTGCCCTAATTTTCGTCTTGTTCTCTTGGGCATCACCAATGTTTAATTATGCTCCATCTATGTGCTTTTGCATTAAGGTAAATTTTTATACTTTACTACATCATATCTTCCACTACTGTGTATCTATTTTGATCGTGCATTAGTATTCTTAGGTAGACTAATTATTATGTATACACCGTTTTCTTTCTTTTTCCCCTTATGAAATAAACATAGGGTTATTTTCCATTTCTTTCTTATATTTCTTTTCACTAGATGTATTGTTTCTTTTCACTAGATGAGTATCTACTTGTACTTGTTTCGATGATTCTCACTCATTGTACTTACTTTCATTGTATTCCTTTTTACTTGTACTATCAATAGTTGTTGTTTTTCTGTGTCCTAGGTTCTTTTCTTTGTGGATAAATAAGTTTGTTGATAATTAGATATCTTGGGATTTTTGAAAAAGTATCAAAATATTAGGAAAACATTTAAATACTATGTGAAATATTGAAATGATCCAAAGAACTTATTCTAAAATTTCTTAAAAAGGTATTTGAGTATTTGAGTGAATATTCAAACACCTCCTTTATAGTATTTAAATACTTAAATAAATAATACAACAAAGACTAGTGTTCTTATCACTATTCGAGTCTTTAGAATAGTATGGACTCTCAGTTGAATTATATCTTCTGATAAGAAAACTACTATGCTTCAAAGTAAAACAGAGAAAATTTATTCACAAAAGACCTTCTGATGTTTAAATTAGTAAGAGAATAAAAATTACAAAAATAATTGTCAATTAGGTTGATTGAAGACGGTATATTATTGTGAAGTAGTAGATACATATAAATATTTCTCACTCTTTTAAATATTTATTCGTCTGTGATTTTTTAATTAACAATTGATCTAATTTGGATTGTAGGTAATTGAATTGATCAAGATTATATTCAATTGGATATTTGAGTTTAATCGTCAATTACATATTGTGTTGCATTTTAGAGGGACATAGATCTTACTTATAATCATGCATTAATACTAAATATATAATTATATAATATATAGATATATATATATATATATTAACTATAAACTAGAACGATTATAAATAAAATAATGTCATGCTATAATTATTTCTTTGGATTTTTTTCATGATTGTTATAATCTATGTATTGTGAAATATAGGTTTTTTCTGCTTTTATATATATTTTTTATCATAAATACGGTGTAGTCTTCTATATTTTTTAATCTTTATTTATTTTATTTTTTATTTTAATAAATCTTTTATATAATTGATATACTTTGAAAATGTCAGATTAACTGAAATATCAATATACATAACTATACCTGATTGCTAATATGGGTTTATTTTGAATTTTCTCATAATCACTCTCACAATAGCTTTATCCTTCTCTTATCTTTTTTGTTGAACCTACTATTATGGCATTTATGATAATTATGATAATGAAAAATCAATAATGATAATTTTGGAAAAACTTGCATTATTTTGTATTTTTAGTGTGATACAAAATCATGGAAATGGGTAAAAGCCATTCCTTAGCACAAGGCAGAAGGTACCTTTTGGTGTCACATTCATAGGAAACATGGCACAGCAAACTATTGTGATTTTATTTGCAGGCACACACGTGGGGTTGGTTACTTTCTCTCTCCATGGACTAAGATCACACAAGAAAGAAAGTAACTTCCTTTCTTTCTACCCTTAACGTTCAAACTAGTACAAAGGACGAGGTTCAAACTTCGAAGACAATTCTCAGCATTGAAGCTAAAACAAAAGCCTTTTTGCGTTGATTCTTGAAATCAACCCCTTTTGGGTTTCCCAATAGAGTAAAACAAAGAACAAGCCGACGAATCATAGCCTTTGTTACACACCTCAAAAAATAATAATATATCTCAATGAAGGGGCACATGAGATTCTATTCCATTCTCCCTTTTGACTGTTTCCCTTTTATCTCTTTTCTATTTATTGTTTCTGAATTTTTCATTCCAATTTCTTGAGTAGAGAGGACCCTACTCCCTATTTGCACCTATTCCTATTTCTTTGTCCCCTCTTCTATCCTTTTGGAAACCATCAAATATTTTGTTTGGTATATATGTCAAGTTTTATGGTTCTTTGCAAGAGAAACTTTGGACCCTTTTGTTGCAGACGAGAGTAAGAGTTCTCAGTTTAACATCTATTATTCAGGTTCCTTTTTCTTCCTTTCTCAGTTTATATTCCTTCTATGGGAATACCCTGTTGGATAATTGATGTTTGAAGGGCATTGCACTGCAAGTTGACTTCTGTAAGGATCACATTTGGAATTTATACCCCTTTTCAGGGGTGGCAATGTTTTCTCGAAATGACTGAGATCTTCTTCTTTGGTGAATGCCATTTTTGTGTGATACTGTTCTGATTTGTTGGATTTGGGTTCATGGCTAAGAATTTATACTTGCTGCACTTCTTAACATTTTTGGGCATTTGTGAATTCATTCTTTTCCAATTTGTGTCATACTCTATGTATTTCAATAATCTGAGCGTATCAGTTTCGTTTGGTGTGAATGCTTTGAGATGCCAATTTTCTTGTGAATAGTTAAATAATCATGAAATGGGTGTTGATTAATTTCGTGTGATCCATTGGGAATTTAGATGGACAACGAATTTGAAGATAGACAAGAAGAAACAGTTTCAGATATCATACGAAGCAATCAGCAGAGGAAAAAGCAGGTTTCTTTCATTCTTTCTCCCTCTTTCTTTTCTTGAAAATATTGTTTATTTTGTCTTCAGTTTAATTGCAATCTTCTTTTTTTTTTTGCCTTTGTTTGTGTCTCTTATTCACTCGAGTCATGTGACGGAGTGTGTATTGGTTATGCAATTTCATGCTTATTTCAATAACTTTATTAAATGTTTACTCTATTTTTCTTTTGGCAATTAATCCTCTGAATGTGATTTCAGTCGTTTCTGTGGAAAGTTTTGGCCATGAGAGAGAGAAATGGAAGGACAATGGAGAGAGGTTCAAATTATTCCCTTGGTGAGTTCTATTGGAATTCACTCTGTTTTTAACAAGACAGAGAGGTTGACAGCATTACACAACATTCTGGTCATGTTTACGAACGAAGATGTCAAAAAGATAGAATAATATTTTTGAATTATGGGTGTTTTGACATAGACATTGTTAATTTCTTTTGGTTACTATGTTGGAGATATCATACAGAAATATGCTCTCTTCCCTGAAAAGGTGGAATCACTACTATCCCATTAAAGAGAATATTTATTGGAATCACTACTTTTCTGTTGAAGAGAATATATATTACTTCTTTATTTCCCTTTGACTTAAACCTTTTCTTCTTCCATCTTCTGTACAAGCACGACGTTTATTAAAAAAACCATCTTAGTTGTAAAGATCAGAAGATGAGCTGGCCTAACTGATAACTGAAAGTTCAGTGTGGTAAGAGGGGAACATCCTCAGTTTTTTTTAATGTAAATTCACAAGAATGTCTTCATGTACTTGTGTCTCAGGTGGTGAAATAAATGAAGCAAGTTGAATGGATTCATTTTCCTTTTCACTGTTTCATCTTGGCACAAAATATTCTTTCTCACTGTTGAGAGAAAATAAGTGGGCATTGAGAAAGGCATATATACCTTTCCTGCTTTGTTTCTTAGAGCTTATCTTTCCATTTTCCCTTTGGACAAGGATATTTTTTAGAAATGAGAAATAAAATAGATTAGTAGTTGTTATGGCTTCATTGACTAGTTAACGGTAATAATTCGAGCATCTACTTGTTTGCTCCAAATTTGAGAATATATTACAGTACAAACTTTTTACCATAATGACCTATCCTTATCTTAACCTTTACTGTTTGTAGATTCCCTCAGTATTAGAGGATGATGTTAAGAGCAATAGAACCTCACCCTTCACATGTTTCAGAAACACCATTCTAGAGGTTCATCTTGTTATGATCACTTAGACCAATCTCTGACTTTTCTTGTAGATGTACTTTCTGATCCATCCATTGAAAATCGAGGCTCAGAACCTTCTATGTCTTCTACTGAAGCAGTTCAAAATCTCAGGTATATTTATATGAAGAATTGATCTTTTTTATTTTATAAAGAAAGTATAATATTTGGTGACCAGATTAATGATTGCAGTTATTTGTATATCAGAGTTTTTGCAGCAACATGGAATGTAGGAGGCCAATGCCCCACTATGAACCTTGATCTGAGTGATTTTCTTCAGGTTCGAAATGAACCAGATATGTATGTTTTGGGGTATGCTCTCTCTCTCTCTCTCTCTCTCTCTCTCTCTCTCTCTCTCTATATATATATATATATATATATATATATATATATATATATATATATATATATATATATATATCTATCTCAGTTCTGATTTTAATCAATGAATAAGATTTTAGTCAACAAATTGCCCCTTTTTTTTCAAGAGAGTTAGCTACCCTTTCTTTCTTCACTTTCTCAAAGAGAAGGTCACTTATCATTTTGAATTTTAACTTTTGACCCTTCAGATTTGTCATGAAATGAATTTATTTGCACCATTTGCCATATGCCAATATAGTTGGTGCATGTGATGTTGTCTGCTTGAGCAATAAAAATGCTTTGAATATTGAGGAGCGCTTTGTTAGGCAGAAAGGTAGTCTAATAGTAGATTTCTGCTTTACAAGTTTGCTGAACTAAAAGGGAAAAAAGTGTGTTTTAGATTGTCTAAAAAATAATCTTCTTTTAGGAGATTTTTTAGTAAGCTACTCATTCTAGCTCTTCAAAATAATCTAAAAGCTTATATTAATGATGTGAACATTTTTCAAAAGTGGTTTTTAATTTTATAATAGCATAGAAAAGTGATTCGTTTAAGAAAAAAAGTCTCAAACAAACTCACTCTAATTCACAATATAATATATCTTTCTCCAATTTTTCAGCTTTCAGGAGATTGTTCCTTTAAATGCTGGAAATGTGCTGGTATTAGAGGATAATGAGCCTGCTGCAAAATGGCTTGCTTTAATCAATCAATCACTCAATGGCCCTTCAGATTTGGCTTCGAACGGACTAAAACAAACTGGATCTTTTGGCGGACCATTATTCTTCCAAAAGCCTTCTCTAAAGAAGATTAAGAAAACATTCAAGAAAATAAATGGAAAGAGGCTAAAAAGTTGTAACTGTGTTCTTGAAATGGAAAGGAAGGCTTCTAAGGATTTCTGTTTCCGTTGTCAAGAATCTAACTTCAATTCGGATGACTCTTCTACCGAAGAGGAGGACGAAAATTTTTCAATTCCTGTTGCCTTAGCTACTAGCCAGATGAAATACAGTCTTGTTACATGCAAACAAATGGTTGGAATTTTTGTAAGTGTCTGGATGAAGAGGGAACTTGTTCAGTATGTTGGCCATCTGAGAGTATGTTGCACTAGCCGCGGGATCATGGGTTGCCTTGGCAACAAGGTAGTCTTAAGAAGCTTGATTCTATTTCATTTAACTCAAGTTAATATAAAGTGTAAATAGGTAGAAAACAATTTCTTGACATAAAGTTGTAGTTACTATCTACATTACCATGCTTGTTTTGTGGCTGCAGGGGTGTATATCAGTGAGCATGTCTTTTTATCAGACAAGTTTTTGCTTTATCTGTAGTCATTTGGCATCTGGAGAGAAAGAGGGTGACGAGCTTCGCAGGAATCTTGATGTCATAGAGATTCTGAAGAACACTCAGTTTCCAAGGATTTGCAAGACACCACATAGTAGAATGCCTGACAGAATCTTAGATCATGAGTGAGCATCTTTCGAAACCAATTAAGACGAGTTTTAATACAAAAATTTCTCCAGTGCTTAATGACACTGAGAAATTTTCATATCATCATTGGTCCCAAATTTTCTGATTATGTGGGAAATGTTTTTCCTCCAGCCGAATCATATGGTTTGGGGACTTGAATTACAGAATCTCTTTGAGCCATGAGGATGCAAAAAGGCTTGTGGAAAAGAAGGACTGGCCTGCACTTTTTAACAAGGATCAGGTAGTTTCTTTTGACTAAGAATGTTCTGCTGATTTGACTATGATTTGTCATTGCTGTTGCGCATTTGGGTGATGAGCTTTTATGGTTTTCATTTTTATGAAAAATGGAATGGAAGATATTCATATTGATATACTCATAATCTTCTGAAAATTTAAGTGGAGTTCCATTTGTGTGCATCTGTGACTTCTAGCTACATTTCTGATTACGATGCATTGTACAATTTTCTCTTTTCACAGCTTAAAATGGAAAGGGAAGCAGGTCGTGTATTCAAAGGGTGGAAAGAGGGAAAAATCTACTTTGCACCAACCTACAAATATGCCTTTAACTCAGACACTTACTATGTTGAAGGTGTAAAGGTTTCAAAGAACAAAAGGAGAACTCCAGCTTGGTATGTCTCAGTTTAAAGAAATTAAGATATTTTCTTCAAATAAACATTAAACTTGTTACTTGCATTACTTTAGTCCCTAAGAGTTTCCATCTAATTCCAATTTGTCTTTGAAATTGTCAACTAGCTAACAGTTTACAAAAATTGTTATAACTTGCTAATAAGTTCACTTCTTGGATTTTATATATGATGTCATGAATGTTGCAAATGATTACCAATTTGTGTAAGAAACTAAAGAGTTTAACTAATGAAACTGTTAACCAGTTCAGATTTTCTGTTGTTTTTTATACTCTCCTTCTGCCAGAACCTTCAAAATACACTCATGTAAATATATTAAAAAAGGTTTTAATATATTTTAAAACATTAAAATTAGTATTCATCAATGTATTTTGAGGTTCAACAGAGGAACGACATTAAAAACTCAATAGAGAATCCAAATTCATTGTCAACCAATCAAACATCAGTGTCCATGTAACATTTTGTAATTACACTGTCAGTGTATAATCTTTCAGGAGCTTTTGAAACCAAATTTTGTATTCACTCTCTTTGAAATCTGAATAATTTAGAATATTGCAGGTGTGACAGAATCTTGTGGCATGGAAGAGGAATCCATCAACTTTCATACGTCCGCAAGGAATTTAAGTTCTCTGACCATCGACCTGTTTGTTCAACATTTAATGTAGAAGTTGAGGTTATGTTCAGACAGAAGAAAAAAGTTTCAACTTATAACTTTCAGAACATTGATGATCTTGTATCCACAAGAAGTCCATATTATTCTTGAAAATTCGTAAGTTACAAGCCAAATTTTACAATGATATCATAGCAAAAGAAGAAATGACTCTTGACACAGTTGCATGGTGTTGCAAGAGAAAGAATCTGACCCTTGTAAAGTGCCTTTTTGCAGTTTAGAAATTCAGTTTAGCTTCTGATTTCATCTGTTCACAGATTGTGTTCTTGTGCAAATCAATGCAAATAGATAAGAACAAGTTAGTGAGAATATTGAACTGTTTGTTTAATGTGTAAACAGGTACATTGGTGCACTAACAACAATGATTGCAAAAGTGAACAATAAATATCAAAATTTTGGTTGCAGCTGACGGTGATGAAAAGTTTGAAGGTTTTGGAATGCATCAAGAAACTTGTTGCATCCAGAATAGAAGAAACTATGATATTGATGTAATAAAAATGTTATTAGAATTAACTTCTTTTTTATGAAAAAGGAAAAACAAGTTCCTACTAGCATGTTCTAAGAAAAATATGTCAATGATTTATTTTTTGTCCTATATAGGAAATTAGTATATTATTAACTATATATAACTATATTCCTAATGTTGCTAGTAGTGCTTTTAAGTGCTAACGAAGAGTATTAATTAAAGTATTTTTTTTCCTTTTATATCTCTGCTCTTTGCAAGATCGTGTTTTAAGAATCCTAAACGAAAATTCTACAAAAAAGAACCCTAATAATTAATCATTATCTCCTACGATTATAAAATTTCTTAATCTTTTAAACTGAAGCTATTTATTTTTTCTTAAAAACAATTTTTCTCTTCTATTTTGTGCAATTTAACTTTGGATCAATTTTAAAACAGAGAAAAAAAATTAACAAGTTTGATCTAAGTCAGAAATTGATCCACATAATTTTTATTTCTCACATTTATATTTATATTCATTAAGTATATTTTTATTATTATGAATACGATAAGTTTAAATTCAATATAATCAAAATAAAATAACTAAAATATATGCAAGATTGGACCAAAACTACACATTTTTTTAACAAGGATCACACGTCTCTATTTTAAATAAAGAACCAAAAGTAGAGACAAAAAATTGATTTTTTTTCCCTACCTTGGTTTGAATTTGAGCAACGTTGGTTGATCTGTTCATTGCAATTTTAAACCTCTGAAATATTCATTAGTAGAATCCAAAGCTTGGAAATCCCACATCATGTGAAATTTCAGAAAAATAAAATTAACATTAAACGTAATCTCACACTGATGTAGCTTTGGGATTTGTAAGCTTAATTAGTCAAACATTAATTTCCCACATGACACCGCAACTCTTGCTGCATTTCTAATTAGTGTAACCCACTAGCCAAAAAAATTATAGATATAGTTAATAACATGTTAATATTAGATAATCCATATCTTATTTTTAATCTTAAGTGTCTTCCTATACAGTGCATATTTAAGTATTTTTACAAAAGAAATAATTTTGATATATGGTTATTACAATAAATAAACTTAAATTTATAAATTTTATAGTGGATTCAATACGAAGACTTCTAAAACTTTGTTTATAACTTTTTCATTTAAGACGTTTTTTTTTTCTGATACAACATCCCATTATATGTTTGAATGGTAAATTCTGTCCTAAGTTTAACTTAAGAACACTTGAATGAGAAATTGTTTTATATCATCATCATCCATAAACCAGAATACATATGATATTTAAAAGGGTAAAAAGGTTAAATATGTTGATGTAAAATTAAAATTTATTTCTTTTCCAAATTTTGATATATTGTAGTTGTGAAATTTAAAAAATAAATAAATATAATTTTTTAATCCAAAATCATTAAATATTTTTACATATTAAACGATATTTTATGATTGTATTTTAGTTAAATGATATAAACAGTGCATACATTAACCTAAAATGTCATTTAACATGTGAAGAAAATTTCACGCAATTGAGTTATAAGAATTATTATTCATTTTTTAAATTTAATGACCAAATTGTATCAAAATTTGAAATAAGATGAATTTTAATTTTCATATAAAATCAAGAATTAAAAACATATTTAATTATATTTAAAATCCTTAAGATAAAAATCAATAGAAAATGCATATATAATTTTGATTAAATAAGTGAAATTAGTACAGATTTTTTCACATTATTTATATACAGCAAGAACATTGCTTGCATGTGATCGATTATAAATTTTATATATATATATATATATATATATATATATATATATATATATATATTTGTATATATGTTTATAAGGAAAAAATTAATTTTTAAAACGTAATAAAAATGATAAATTAGTAAATTGAAATAATACTAATAATAATAATAATATTATTATTATTATTAATTGTTTTGAATAATTCATGCTGT